ATGTGATAAAAATTTTATATTTCAAAACTAAATTTTAAAATCAATTTAATTATATTAAATTTATATCATAATTAAATATATATGTTTTCATAATTTGTAGTCCAAATTTGTAAAATATGACTAAAAAGTCAAAAAGGGAAGATTATTTAGGGTAGAGATAATATAACTAGAAAAAAATATAAAATAATATGAGGTATTGAATTGATGATAGATTGATAAATGTAATAAAACATAAAAAGAAACAGGGATAGTTGAATTTTAATTAGAAAAAAAATATATCGAATATATATTTGATCCGAAACCAAAATATATCCGAACCGAACTAGACCCGAAACCGAAATATATCCGACTCAAATTGTATCCAAACCGATTTATAACTGAACCGTATCTGAACCGACTCGAAACCGAACCGAACCGAACCGAAAAATGTATAGAACCGAAATCAAATCCGAACCGAAATTTAACCGATCCGAACCGAACTGAACCGATTATGACATATAACCGAAAGATATCCGAACCGAAAAAGTCCAACCCGAAACCGATCCGGTTGATCCGATTGCCACCTCTATTTATGGACTCGGCTCATGCCATTAGCCTGATGTAATTAGGTTTGATTATACTTGTATTTGTACTGCAAGATTGTCATCAATCAAAGCAGTTTGGTTTGCTTAAACTTCTTCATGGTATCAAGCCTATTCCATGGTATATTTTTGAACTCTAGGCTCTCCCATTTCTGTTCCTCCGCTGAACTCCAGCGCACAGTGTCGCCACCATGGTCATAGTGTGTTTTCTCGCCGAACGTCGCCGCTTCATGTCGCTTGTCAGTCGTTCCTTGTTGTTCTCCTTAAGAGAAGTTTCTTCTTTCTGTGTTGCATAATGTTGATCGAAACCACAAATCATCCATGACCCGATATCTGCTTATTATCTTTACCCTTAAAAAAGTATAGGTAATTCTCTTACAAAACATTTGCTTAAAGGAGTGAATTATGATGTTTGGGAGAAGCAAATTGTGAATGCATTGCAAGGGTGAAGTCGTGCGGGCTTCTTGACACCGATGGGTTTCCCAAAACACTTTGATGCACATGAATTGGAAGCTTGGGAAGCTAACAATTCTATTATTTATTTATGGATTTGTAGATGTGTCGATGATTTTATCCAACCTTTCCATTATATGATATAAGATTGCTCATTAACTGTGGTTGGATCTGAAGACACAGTATGAGGTTCAAATGGACCTCGTGTTCATAAGTTGAAGTTACATTCTCAATCACTCAATAAAAAATGACAAACTATTGTGGTTTACTACTTCACTATAACTAATTTGTCACCTTGTGGAACAAGTTGCATGGATCGATTGATCCCACTTGTGGTTGTAGGTATGAGGTTGTGGCTCTTATTAGAGATAGTGAGGAACGCGAAAAGTCACAAAATTTTTGGAGAACATTTCTATAAAGTTTAATTTGTTATTAAAACTTTGAAATTAATGATACCAAAATGGTCTATGAACTTTGGAGAACATTTCTATAAAGTTTAATTTAAGTATGATAACTAAAAACGAAGTTTTCAAAAATTGGCCTGAGGTTGAAGATGACACAGTTTAAACTACGCGTAGAAACGGTATCGAACTACCGTCCGGATGGTACCTAGGTACCGCTGGCACGGTAGGCCGTACTGTCGGAACGGTTGACCATCTACCATATCCATGTGTTCTCTCTAGCGGTACCTGATGTCGGACGGTACCCCATACCGTCTGGACGGTACAGAGGTACCGTATCAGGTACCGTCTGAACAGGAACTTTTCCATAAATCTAAATTTTGAATTGTAAAATCATATTTTTAATACCATTCAGTTATGATCAATATTACAATGATTTCTGGAAATTAATAATGATGTTTTGATCAATCCAAGAACTTAGTGTGATGCATGACAGTAAGCTAGGGTGTTAACACTCAACGCTAGGCCGCTATTTGAATATTATGATGATTATTATTGAATTTTGATTATAACCGTTAAACCTTGATAAATATCATGATTAAAATGATAATAATGAATGATTCAACCATGATTAAAAATGGAAATATTCTAATTTAAATAATGATTATGAAAATGAAATTTCTTTTTAAGGGTATATAGAAGAACTCTAAGATATACCCATGTGACCAACTTAGTTAGAAGAACTCTAAGATATACCCATGTTGATATTAAATAATCTGATATGAACTGCACATTATCAATATCATGAGTATTGAATATCTGAATTGAATATTATGTGCATGATATCAAATGATTTGATTATGAATTGAGATTCAATTTATATGGATGTTCGATGAATTAGACATCTTTACATTGGTGAGCACCACGGCTGGTCAAATCAAGGAGTTTAGGTCAAAACTCCGAAATGATCTCAGGGTGCAGGTATCCATCATCCCTACGGTAGATTTTACTGCAGCCAATGATATGATTGCTAAGGAGGATAAGGACCTGAGCGCCTACAAAGAGTATTTGGAAAAGGAAGATGTTGGCCGAGTGTTCGTCAAACTGCGAGTTCCGCCCCAAGTGGGAAAAGACCTTTCCAAGGGACCAACCTTGTTCGTGGCATCTGGTGATAGGCCAAAGAAGTGGAAACATCCAATGTGGGATTTGTATGGAAGGAAACATCCTGAAGAATGCTGTCATGCACAAGGATTATGTCTTGGCTGTGTTAAGCCTGGACATTTTCGAAAGGGATGCCCCACCAATCCTGGTGAGCCATTTCTAGCTGCTTCTGTTGTCTGTCAGTCAGCATCAACACGTCTTACACCCAGTCAACCCTCAACAGTAGGGGTCTGTAATACCCCGTATTAAGATGGGAATGGGAAAAGCTCAAAAGGATTGATAGTACTACTCATACCAACAAGGTGCATCTTCTTTTTGAGAGCTCATCACCTAGAAACTCCAAAGTTAAGCGTGCATGACTTGGAGCAATTTTAGGATGGGTGGCCCCCTGAGAAATTCCTTGGGCGCGCACGAGTGAGGACAAAGTGTGTAGGAAAGACTTATATTGGTTTGTGGGGCTAGTTTATAATCCTATGAGCAGATGCTTACGGCCAGGGTGGGGGCCGAGGTGTTATAATTGGTATCAGTGCAACCCTGTGACCATGACGGGCCAAAAGAGCTTAGTTGACCTAGCGAGGAAGATCTAAGGGTTAAAAAAAGGATGCAATGAGGACGTTGCATTCCTAAGTGGGGGTGAATGTAATACCCCGTATTAAGATGGGAATGGGAAAAGCTCTAAAAGATTGATAGTACTACTCATACCAAC